GCAAATACAAGAGAGCAACAGTTTCGGGAGGTTACTCTGGCTGATTTTCTAAACCAGGGGTCCTCAAACTACGGCCCGCGGGCCACATGCAAATACAAATACTGTATTTGTTCCCGTTTTGTTTTTTTACTTCAAAATAAGATATGTGCAGTGTGCAAAGGAATTTGTTCATAGTTTTGTTTTTTTTAAACTATAGTCCGGCCCCCCAACGGCCTGAGGGACAGTGAACTGGCCCCCTGTTTAAAAAGTTTGAGGACCCCTGTTCTAAACTAAACCTTTGAGAGAGGGGCTAAATTACGGATGTAAACACTCGTAAAAAACAAAAAAAAATGCATGCCCAGCTACCCCGGACCCGACTGGGCGTGGACACGTCTGGATCTCGTGGGCTCGTAAAAAGGAAACAGGTAAACATCGCAGCTTCTGCGGCGCGGCCTCCCGAGCCCGGGGGCTAAGTCTCCCCAGCAACTTACATGAGCCTCTAGGCCAGGGCTCCTCAAACTTTTTAAACAGGGGGCCGGTTCACTGTCCCTAAGGCCGTTCGAGGGCCGGACTATAGTTTAAAAAAAACTACGAACAGATTCCTATGCACACTGCACAGATCTTATTTTGAAGTAAAAAAACAAAACGGGAACAAATACACTATCTGTATTTGCATGTGGCCCGCGGGCCGTAGTTTGAGGACCCCTGCTCTACGATGTTCAGGTGGAAGATGGTCGCTTATAAAAGCAGAAAACGGGCCCTAGCAGGTTTTGCTCAGTGCATAGAGCATTGGCCTGAGGACTGAAGGGTCCCAGGTTCGATTCCCGGTCAGGGCACAGGCCCGGGTTGCGGGCTCGATCCCCGGTGGGGGGCGTATAGGAGGCAGCCGATCCGTGATTCTCTCTCGTCATGGATGTTTCTCTCTCTCCCTCTCTCTTCTTCTCTGAAATCAATAAAAATATATTTTTTTAAAAAAGTGGAAAACAGTACAACATAATTGCTTTTTTAAAAATACATATATTTTAATTGATGTCAGAGAGAAACACTGATGTGAGAGAAACACATCGCTGGGTTGCCTCCTGCACGCGCCCTGGACCAGAATCGAAGCCGGGGCCCTTGGCTCCGCAGGCCGACGCTCTATCCACTGAGCCACACCGGCCGGACTCAGCCGGCTTTCTCACCTCTCAGCACAGCTGCTGCTGGGGCCGAGGAGTAAGACGCTGCCGCTCAGGGAGGGCTGGGTTTGGCAATCCTGCCGCCAACCTAGCCGAGGGCAGGGCTGCCTGTGCACGGAGGCCTCGGTGACCCCGTGAAGGAGGAACTCGCGACGGTAATCGCTTGCACTGGCTTCCTGGCGGGAAGGGCCTGCGTATGTGCAACCCGGCACACGGGGGTCACGCTGCTGGTCTGGTCACCCCGTGTTGCAACCCAGCCGCTCCTTAGAAATGGGTCGGACCAGCCCCCTCCAGGCTCACGGAGGAAGGCTGCGCTTCTCCCCACACTCAGGACGGGCCCTGCTGCTCACCCTGACAGCCACCACGGACCCGGCCGGACCCTCCTGCAAAGCGGGCTGAACAACTGAGCCCGACGCCGATGCAAACCCAACAGCACTGTGCAAAGCAAAACTACAAAATGAGTAAATAAATCACGGGAGAAAAATGCGGGAGTTTCCAAGGTTTCACGATCACACTCCCCCGCCCCGGCCGCCCCGGGAGCCGTCCCGCGAGCTGATGCACAAACACCGAGAGGAGACGGGAATGCAGACAGCAGCTCGCCGCGCGACCGGCGGAGTTATTGACTGACTGTCCCCAACAGGACCAAGGTTCACGCCGAACCAAAGTCCCAGACGGGGCCGGCCTGCCCTGCGGCTCCCGGGGCTCCCGGGGCTCCCGGGGCGGGTTCTACGGCCTCGTTCTCCTTCCAACCTCATCCTCCTCGCCTCCTCGCTTCCACTCTAGGAGACCCGCACCCTCCCCACACGCCGGCTCTGCCCGCGGCGACGCATTTCCCCTTCAGCGTGGAAGGTCTGAGTCGTCCTGCTCTTGGTCGGCCTTTCCCCAGAGGCCCCGGGTCCGACACCCGCCCGAGCGGCGTCTCCAGGCTCATCGGCCGCGGCGTTTGGGCCTCGCCAGCCGCTCTCAGGCTCCACCAACCACAGCCCGCAGGTCACACACCACACACAGCCCGCAGGTCACCAAGAGCCCAGGGAGATTCCGTCCCGTGGAAGGTGTGGGCTGCTGCCTGCACAGGGGAGGAGCCGGGGGGCCTGTGGCCCAGGAGCTGGGGACACATCCCCTGGGACCGGGGAAACAGGGCGGGGCCTGCAGGTGCCCATCTCCCTGGGACTTGGTCGGAGGGAATCAGGGCTCCTCCCGGCTCAGAGCGGACCGGGGTGCGAGAGCCCTGCGGCTTTGTCACCCGAGCAGCTCGGGGCTCCGCGAAGGCTCCGCGATGACTGACGGCGATAGAGACGCTTTAAGCGCCCCCGAATCTGAGCTGAGCTCTCGTCCAGGCGCGGACTCCCTAACTTATCTACACAACGCCCACATCCAGGCAGCCTTCTCGGGCAGGGCCCCCCAACCGGGCTCACGGGCTACGGGTGTTTTAGGGGTCGGGGTCGTGCACAGAGAACTGGTTCGGGAGCCAGTTCTCTGCCCAGAGTCAGTGACCGCAAGAGCGCCATCAGCTCTCCCCGGAGCGAGCCCGGGTGTCCAACTTACACAGAACCTGAAGGGACACGCTCACCTACAGCACATGCTTTTTAAAAAAGAGCCAAACAGGGACAAAGAAAGCAGAAATCATTTTGGAAGTGATCGCCCCCACCCTGCCGTGTGGCTCAGTGGACAGAGCGTCGGCCTGCGGACTGAAGGGTCCCAGGTTCGATCCCGGTCAAGGGCACACGCCCAGGTTGCGAGCTTGATCCCCAGTGAGGGGTGTGCAGGAGGCAGCCGATCCATGATTCTCTCTCCTCATGGATGTTTCTCTCTCTCCCTCCCTCTCTGAAATCAATAAAAAGGTATTTTAAGAAAATTCTTTAAAAAAAACAAACACAAAAGACAGCGCAATGCCCCCTTCGTGGTGATGATCTCCTTTAAAACCACCATCTCTTGCCGAAACCGGTTTGGCTCAGTGGATAGAGCGTCGGCCTGCGGACTGAAAGGTCCCAGGTTCGATTCCGGTCAAGGGCATGTACCTGGGTTGCGGGCGCATCCCCAGTGGGAGATGTGCAGGAGGCAGCTGATCGATGTCTCTCTCTCATCGATGTTTCTGACTCTCTATCTCTCTCCCTTCCTCTCTGTAAAAAATCAATAAAATATATTAAAAAAAATAAAAATAAAAATAAATAAAACCACCATCTCACGAGGGATGTTGTTATGGTTTTTGATCAAGGTTAGGACAACAGGGTTCCCAGCCGCTGCTCTAAGTGCTGTTGTCCACGGAGAAGCTGGGAGACACAGGGAGCCCACACACCCTCCCCACAGAGTCGGGAAGCAGCAGCGGGCGGACACGGCTCCCGCCTGCTCCCAGGAAGGGAGGGCCCCGAGCAAACGTTAACGTTCGCGGACGTGTCGCACGGCCTCACCTGCCAGGCGGGCCGCGCACGGCGTCCACGAGGATCTGAAAGGTGAGCCGGGCCCGGGAGGCAGAGACGGTGAGCACCAGGCCAGGAGGACGAGTCTCCAGTGGCGTCTGCGCTGAGCACCACCTGGGAGCTCGGGGGCACTTTCCGGAGGGCGGGCCGCAGTTCCGCGAGAGCCCGTGAACTTGGGGGCGAAGGGCTGTGTCGTGTGCCCAAGAGGCCATTCTGCCCAAGCTGCCGGCCACTCGGGCCTCCCTGTGACCACTGGCAATGCCCGCCGGACGCCGGGCGTGATACAGAAAACCCCATCTGAGGAAGACGGTACCACCCAAGGTTTTAAAAACTCTAAATGCAGGGTTTGGGTCGCATTTTTCTGTTCTGGTTACTGACCGACTTCACCCATTACCGGCCGGGCGCTGCGAGGGGACGGCGTCCTTGCCCCAAATGCACACACAACAGAGACACACAAGCGAGCCTCCTACTTCACACCCCGACATCTCAGGTGAAAACCCCAACTCTCAGTGGTCACCCCCAGACACAGGCATCCCGCACGAGGGAAAGTGGGGGCAAGTGGGTGGCGAGACGATCAACTGCGGGCCGTCGAGAACAGCGGCGATCGATCGCCTGCGCGGAGAAACCACAGCCGGGTTCACGCGGAACCAGGGACACTGCGGGGCCCACTCGCTCGAGTCGCCCGGGCAGAGGAAACGCCAGTTTGCCCTGGTCCCACGGGCCCACCCCACGCACAGACATCCCTCTACAGAGAAACCCACGGTTAGGCCCCATATAAATACCTGATCGTCCCCTATAACAGCATCATACATGTTCACTCTTAACATGCGTCGCCACTAGGTCTCAGAGCACACGTCTCTCGTGGTTGTGCAGAGCCCCTACAACGTCCTCTCCTCCACCTTCAGTTAACGTCCTTCCTAAGCTGTAAATACCGCCTGTGTGTCTCCCGTGTTGACCTGGCTCTCCCCTCCCAAGAGCAGTAAATTCCACCTTTCCAAACACCGCTAAACTGTGACTTAACAAGACGGTTTTCCTGTTGAAGTTGCTCAGGACCATTTTTAATTGTGTCACGCTCTTGTTTTATTACAACCTTAGGTTGTGCCTGGGACCAAGATCCTGGAACCTGACTTAACACGAAGCCGCATAAACTCTCTGGAACCGTATTTAGGACGGCTACCCCCATTTCAAGACACCATGTCCCAACTCACATGTTCAATTTCTCCGCTTTCATAGAGTGAACCTCAAACATAGGCACACAGCCAACCAATTTCCAAAGGAGCCTAGAAACCTGAAATACTTGGGGTGACAGAAAAGAACCAGTCCCCGGCCCGCAGGTCCCACCTCGGGCATGAATGTTTTCGGAAACGCAGCGCAAAGACAAATCCGGACGCGGTGACGGGGCAGGAAGCACAGGCTACCGCTTTTGCAGTTTTGTGATTAACAAGTCTTTTATTGGTAGTAAACTAGAACAATCAGAATAATACATACGCAGTTTCAGTACACACAATAAAAGTTAGAGAAAGCCAAAACCTGTATAAAACAAAACACGGGGGAACCATCCATCTTCAGATCCGGTGGGAAGGGCCTCTCCGCCCTCCTCACAGCTCGTACTCTGCCCCCCGCAGAACTTAACCGCGTTCCCAAATAAGAAATACAGACTTTAGAACCAAGTGTATGTAAGAGGGTTAAACACATTGTCTAAGAATCCTGCAGTGACACGGAGGTGAGCCTGCAGCTGGCAAAAGCAACACGTCAGGGAGGAAAAGTGTGGGGAGGAAATTAACTAGTATTCTGTAACCATTTTAATAATTCCTTATTTCCCGAACACTGCTTTCATAACAGAAGTGTTTCACACTCGCACAGAATTAATGACTGTGTCACACATGGAAGCCGCGAGGCTGGTTACACAATCAGGCTGCAAACAAACAGTGGTACTTTCCTGACGTCAGCGGGGGACGTAAGACTGAGACATCCCCAAAAGTACATAAAACTCGTCAGCGCAAACACCCAAGTCCATTAAAAATACCATCAGGAGGAAATACAATGGCTAAAAAGTGGTTCGAGCACAGCCACTGTGGCCAGCAGCTGCGAATGGCAATCGGGGCTGGGAGCTGGCTCGGTGACTGCGCCGGCCCCTGCACAATACTGACGGGCGCCCCGGTGCACCGTGCGACACGGCTGCGGCTCCACCAAGAGGCTCTGAGGTCACTACGGAAGGCAGGCCCACCCCCTCCCCGCTCCGTGAGCTATGGCACCAGCTGGAATCACACACCTTCGTCGCCTCTCCAGCTCCAAGTGTGTGGGGCGTGATGACACGTGAAAACCTAGGTGGGGTTCTTTTGTTGTTGTTGTTCGAGGTGGGGAGTGGCGGGCGTTCATCTTATTGTTTAGGATTTGGATGCCAGAGGCATGTAAGATGCTCATTGGAATGTAACTCCTTCTAAAGTTGAAACTGTCAGGACAAGGCCCAGAACTCTTAGAAAGAATGTAGGTTCAGGAAAAAAAACACCAACACCCAGAAGCGTGGGTGACGGGTACCAGACAAGAGGACCGTGCCTCTCGGCCTCGCAGAACAACAACGCCCCCCGTTTCACACTATGCCATCCCAACGCGGGCCCTAACACTGGCACCGACTCGGCTTCAACACTGGCCAGACGTCAGCTGGCCGCCTCCTCGTGGAGCTGCAGCCTGGTCACAGGTGGGGCAAGGAGAGGGGGCACTTTAAAGGTTACTTCTTGTTTCGTTAAAGCTATCATCCCAGGCTTTGATCAAAGGTCCCAGAATCCGTCCTGCCCGGCTGGGGTGGACGTGGTCGGGAAGCTCGGGGCACCGTAAGAAGCCGCCACAGGACACGGGTTGCCCACATCTCGGAACTTCGCCTCAGCCCAGGTGGAGACAGCAATTTGAAATGTTTCGATCCCTTACTGAAATGGTGACACGTATACCATACCACCTGTAAACTGGATATCCCGTTACAGTGACAGCATACAGAGTTCCCATGCCTTGTTACACTTTCCTGAGAGTAAAGCAATTAGAATAACCTTAATCCTAGCAACAAAGTTTTTTTGTTTTGTTTTTTTTTACATCGTTTTTTTTTTTCTTTTTTTTTTTTCATTCTTTTTTCTTTTTTTTGCATTTAAAACTTTTGGGCTATTCCCTGACGATCTATACATGTAAATTTGATTGCTAAACATTGTCACTTTGAATGTCAAACTATTTTTAATCTATTGATTTCGATTAAAAATCATAATAGAAACAGAGCTAAAATCACACTAACAAAATAAACTAAATATGAAAAGTTGCATTGAAAGGGCATTACATTATTCTTAAGAGGATCGTGTACAAACATTCCAATGGCAGTGTTCTCAGAACGAAACAGAAACCGCATCCTTCGACCGCCAGCCTGTCACCTGGGGGCTTACCTGTAGCTCTGGCTGGTGGGCGTCTTGACTCGCGTACTACATGGCTCACTCACATCGGACATCATGTTTGTGTACCCTGAGAAATCTGACACCGAAGTCCTGACTCTGTGGTCCACTTCGCCGTTCGAGTTACTGACAAAGGTCATTGGCACCCTGCTGCCCGACTTGAACTGAGAACCAAACGCCTGTGCAAAGTTCTCGATCTGGTACGTGGCTCGAGGCTCCATGTCCTTCGGGGGGTCCATCTGGCTCGCTAACTCCTGAGAGGGCATCTGAAAGCTGGTGGAGGACTCCAAGTTCTTCTGCGGCTCCTTCTGGCTCGGCAGTTTCTGAGATGAGGACTGGAAGGCCGAGGAAGTCTCTAGATTCTTCTGAGAGTCGATCAGATCGTCCAGCTCCTGGGAAGGGGTCAGCTGCTGGTGGGTGGCATCCAGAGCAGACAGGTACAGACCCGGCTGCGATCCGAACAACATCCCAAAAGGAGGCTTTGGCAACGAAGATGGCAACACTGAGGTAACAGACTGGCCGAAACCACACTCCAGGGGAGACGTAGTGTAAATCTGCTTTTCCGGGAACAGCGTGTGGTTGTGGAGAGGTGAGGACAGGCTGACGAACTGGAAACCGTGTCCGAGCGCGAAGCCCGCGTTGGTGGACTTCTCGAAGGCCTGCTGGAGGTATTTGGAGTACTCCTGCAACACCATGGCCTTGTCGCTGGAGGGGGTCTGGGTGCCGGGGCTCAGGCTTCCCTCCTGCACCAGCTCCGGGTGCTCCCCTGAGGCGTGCAAGTCCACGCGCGGCTCCGCGATGCTGAACGGGTCCTCCTTCTGGCCCTCCGACTTGCTGGAGTACTGGTCCAAGATGCTCTGCAGGACCTCGTCGGGGATGCCGGACTTGTCGTGGCAAGACTTGACGTCCGCGCTCAGCGCGGAGGAGTCGATCAGCGACAGTGGGGCCTCGCTGTCCAGGACGCTGACCCCGGCGGCCTGGATGACGGACGGCTGGGAGACCATGTGGCCCACGTTGATCGAGAAGGCACTGTTGCTGGTGGCGGTGGGCAGGTATCTCCTCTTCTTGGAGAACTGCATGGCATCGTCGTAGTTGCTGTTCAGCGGGCCCTGCTTGCCGCCGGCGCTCTGGAGGAGGCCGAGGGTCTCCGTGCCGGCGCTCCCCGCGATGCCCAGGGGGCCGCCGGGCTTCCCCGACAAGGACTTCTGTCCCACCAGGTCCGGCAGCGGCGACACGAAGTTCAGGTAGCTTTTGTCGGTGTTCTTCCTGCTTCCTTTCTTGAAGATGAGTTTTGGCACCCTTTTCTGGAGCTCGTCCATGCCGCCGCCGCCGCCCATCATGCCCCCGCCGGGCGACATGGCGGGCATCTCCACGGAGTAGGTCTGCAGGCTCAGGCTAGGCTTCGCCGCAGGTGCGCCGGTGCTTGAGCAGCCGGTCGGTCCGCGAGAAGAACTGCTGGCAGGTGTCGCACTTGTAGGGCTTCTCGCCGCTGTGCGTGCGCTTGTGCCGCTCCATGTGGTACTTCTGGATGAACTTCATGCTGCACTGGTCGCAGCCGAAGGGCTTCTCGCGGCTGTGGATCTTCTCGTGCCGCTGCAGCAGGTACTTCTGGATGAAGCCCATGTGGCACTGGCCGCACTGGAAGGGCCGCTCGCCCGTGTGGATGAGCACGTGCCGGCGCAGGTGGTAGGA